AATTTATGTTTCAAGGTTCTCGGCCATTTATTAAAAGAACAGAAAAGCATGATAAATAAATATACTTCTTATCTCTTACTTTCTTTTTTATGTATTAGGTATATTTCAATTTTATTTTGATGGTAAATATTATAAAAAATCATCAAATTCATCTTAATTAATTGCTAACACCATTAAAAATTGTAAATGAAATTTGCCGGCACGACATTATGTGAATACAAATGCACGATCATCATTATCCAACTATGATTTTTGAAAAAAAATTGTAGTTTGGGACAATAATTATGCATTTAAAAAATATTTAAAAGTTATTAGAATTGATTTAGTGGTTAAGAATTTGAGTAGTCGGAATGAGGTCATAAGTTCAAACTTCAGTGTCATCATTATATTAAAAAATATATATATTCAGGATAAAAAAAACAATATAATTGTAGAATGAAAGTAAAACTCACCTATAATAAGTGAAGATTTTCTTGTAGTAGATCTAATGCCTAGTTCTCTTTTTAAAGGTAATATGTTTTTGTATACAAAGTTACTTTAAATTTTATATCGATTGAATCGTAAATTTTAAATCATAATAGGTTTTTAATAAATGTGTTTGCATTTAACTTCATAGTTTAGAAGTTGTCCAATCTCTGCATTGAACTTCCTAGTTCAGAAGTTGTCCCATCCTTGCAATTGAACTACCCCAGTTTAGAAGTTAATCATTTAATCACTGCATATGGGGCTAAATTTATACAATTTAACAGGATTTGATAATTTGTGTTGCATTGATCTTCCCTCCTTTTTTTTTTTAAGTACAAGATCTTCCCTATTTTACAAGTTGTCCGATCTCTACTCTAGTTGGCTAGTCAAAACCTAAATTAATCCGGGGAGGGGAAGTAGAGGGAATGGTTCACGCAGTGGCGGACTTAAATTAGTGCAAGTGCACACACAAATTTTTTGGGGGAAAAAATAAAATATATTTTGAGTCATCAACAAAAATTACAGAATCTAATTTAATCTTTTAAAAAAAATTGACTCGTGATTCCTTTAAATTCCAAAATAGAACCATGTTAATCCTTCTGAGGGATTAATGTGGATCTTTTTTAATTTCAGAGGACCATGATTTTGATTTGATTATCTGGATCTATTTTTGAATTCTGAGGGATCACAAGTAGACTTTTTTCTCCTAAGAGATTAAATTGAAGCCCATAATTTTTATTGATGATCCAAAATATTCTATTGAAATAGTTTAGTTGACTCTTGATTACTTTTTTTTATATTAAGTTAAAGTTTTTTTTTTATATTTTTTTGTATTTTAATATATTTTAAATTTTCTTTAGAAATTTTTTCATTTATTCTTTTATTCTAAGTGTGCAGACATTAAAAAAAATTTCTAAGTCCGCTATTGGGTTCAGGTATGAAAAGTTTTTTTTTTCGGATGATGAAAAAAGAATAAAACAGAGGGACCTATGATAATAGAGTAGATTGAATTATTTGGTCACAACTCCATTATTTGACATAGTTTATTCCTTTTCGGTCCTCTTCTATTAAAACTAAAACCAATAAAAATATTATACACGATGTATAAAAAATATATATTATACAGCATACACGACTATTTGACAATTCTTCTCTTCTCTTCTTTTTTTGACAGAGACAAAATTTTAGTTTTTTTTAAAAGACAAGTGATAGACGAGATGAGATTATGACAAATTTTTTTGGAAGAATTTGATAAATTATTATATTTTACTGAGAAAAATGTATATCATTTTAAAAGACACAATTTTATATCATTTTAAGAGAATAAATCAATATATAAAAAGTGAAATAATCGTATTATAGTACATATTTGTTGGCTTTCTACATTCTTCTTTTCATAAATTTGAGAGGAGAGAGAACAAGATAATATTGTAGAGAAAAAAAAATCTAAAAAATAAATAAATATGCATAAAAAAAGAAAAAACTGTGTGCTTTAAGATGACAAATAAATTCTACTGTATCCAGTTTTTAAATATTTGTCTCTAATATCTAACATTAAATGTACCAAAAAAAAGTTACACATTTTGGATACAATTTCATTAGAGAAACCGATTCTCTTAATTTTAGAAGATTAACAATTTATCAATTTTGTCTTTATTATAAAAGTAAAAGAGTAATAAATAAAAGAATGGGAAGCCCCGTCACGAGGCTCTCGTCTCTCGACTGTGGGAGAGCCACGACTGTAGCATTGAGACACTATCAACGTGGCACTCTATACCACCACTGACATATAATATAACTCCGTCAATAGCCCCACTCTGCCTAATGCCACTGCCCCCTGTATAAATAACTTCTCTACAGCTTGAAATTTTTGCCTGTAGTCAGGACCAGACAAACACACATGCACACACCCTTTGCTAGCCCAATTCATAGTAAGTGAGGTAGCCATCTCCAACGTTAGCCTTTCAATTTGTTGTCTGCATTATATTGTATAAACATATAGTGGCAGATATTGGACAAATTACATACATAAGACATGGGAAGGGCTCCTTGTTGTGAGAAAGTGGGATTGAAGAAAGGGAGGTGGACAGCAGAGGAAGACGAAATCTTGACCAAGTACATTCAAGTCAATGGGGAAGGTTCCTGGAGATCGTTGCCAAAAAATGCAGGTACTAAATATGTTTATTGAAAGTGTTAATAGCGTTATTACCCTTTTTGTTTTTGTTTTTTGTTTTTGTTTTTGTGAGCTTCAAGATCTAATTTGTGCAATTGATTGGTTTCTCTCTGACTGGCATTTTATTTTTTGGATTTTTAAGGATTACTAAGATGTGGGAAGAGTTGCAGATTGAGATGGATTAACTATTTAAGAGCTGATCTCGTAAGAGGGAACATTTCTGTGGAAGAGGAAAGTATCATCGTTAAGTTGCATGCTTCTTTTGGCAATAGGTTAGTATCAAAACTAATTTGATGCATATTTCTAAGATTCAACCCATTTATTTCTATGATTCAAAAAAGGAGACGTGTTTCTCATGTGAGATAATTTTGTCTCGCGTAACACATAAAAAATAGTTGAAAGATAACAAAAAATGAATTTCATTTAATTTTTTATATACATGAAATAATTTTATCTTATATAATATGATAAATATATTTTCCTTTAAAAAGAAAAACTCTATTCCTAATCTTCACGGCTAAAATACAAAAGCAATGAGAAATAATTGAGTAGATGGCCATCATATGTGTTTACATTGCTATAAATGAAAGTCTATTTTATTCCATTTTATTTAATCTTTTTTTTCTGAATTTAGTTTATGGAATGAAGCTATTATAATAAAATTACAATTCTTATTGTTCCGTCTTATCAAATAATTGCATTAAAATCTTATTAAAGTTTAATTATAATAATTTTGTTTCATTTCATTCTAATGAACCTAAATTTGACACATCATTATTTTTGATCAAATGAGAATTTCATAATATTTTGCTAATATTTTTTAATAAAGAGTTAAGCTTTTATTTTCGGAATTTACACAAATTATATTCAGAACAACTTCACAAAAGTTATTACCAATTAAGAGACAGATCGGGACGATGCATGTATCTCGTGCACTGAATATAGTATATAATATAAAGTCTGACAGCGAGATAAACCAATCATTCAATATCTCATATAAGATGTCAAATTCTAAATTTGATATCGGTCTCAAAAGATCTTACTTTATATATATATAGATAGATTTATATTTCTGCAGTGTAACAGTCAAATACTTGTCATATATGTACGTGAAAGTATTAAATGTGAAGAATCATAACCATATAAAATATGAAAGCATTAAATATGAAAAATTATAACTATACAACTGTTATTGCTATATGTAAAGCGACGGTAGAAATAATATATATATATATAGGAATTTGTATTTATCATTTAACATGATACAAAAAAATTTCTTACACCCATAATATTTTATGGGATCCACACTTTTTGAAGCAAAAAAAAAAAACTACGGGACACAAAACGAATCTCTATAACATTACACAATAAATTTTCTTACTATATAACTCTTATAAAATTCATATATATAGCGGGTTAAAAGATTAATGCATGCAGTCCTTTTCACCAAAAGAAAATATTAATGCCGTCTTATTCAATGATGCCTTCTGCACACTGCATTAAATGCCTTTAGGCGTGTCCTATGGTGCAATAATAAAAGTTTCCTTTTATATAACGAACAACATTACAACACAAGTTGTAGGGTAAGAAGATTAATTAATATCTTATTTTGTTGGGTATTTGATGTCCAATAGGCAAAATTAATTTTTCTTAATATCAATGAATAAAATAAAATTAATTATAATAATATACTTTTATATGTATATATATTATGCATTATTTTGTGATAAAGCTTTTGCCTTGGTAACTTCAGGTGGTCTTTGATAGCAAGTCACTTGCGTGGAAGAACAGACAATGAGATAAAAAACTACTGGAACTCTCACTTGAGCAGGAAAGTTTACAGCTTCCGAGGGTCAATTAATAAAGACATCACCGAGCCAGTGATCGTCGATATTCCTCCCAAGCGGAGAGTTGGTAGAACCAGCCGGTGGGCCATGAAGAAGAACAAAATTTATGCCCAAAATGGTGTTGAGAGACCTAAACAAAGTGTCACTCATCAAAATAATGAAGTAGTTCCGCTTCCTCCAACCCCTGCACTAGAGAGCGAAAACTGTTCTAGCACGATAATGGATTTCATGGTTTTGGACCCTGCAAAGGAAGACAAGATAGATAGAGAAGAACTAGCTGATGGGTCAAGCACTAGTTCCCATCAGCAAGAAATTACTCAAGAAGATAAAGAAGGAGGAGGCACTACACAGTGCCTCAACGGTGAGAAAGAAACTGACGATTTGTTAGGACCATGTCAGGAGGTTATTAATGATGGTGAGGTGTTTTGTTTTAATGACATCATGGGCACATGTTTTATGGAAGCAAGTGGGGTTTTGACCTCTGGGGAAGAAAGAGACAGCACTGATGATGTCGTGGGAAATGAAAATGGGGACACGTGTACTGACAAAATGATAAAAAGTGATGACCCAGAGAGTAGTGTGAATCACAGCTCGAATGGGGAGTTACATTCTTGCTCTTCCATGGGTTCTATGGATGATTACTGGGATTGGGAGAGCTTCATACAGTTGAACCATGAAGAGGAGTCAGTGTCATGGGAAAACAATGAAAAAATGTTGACTTGGCTGTGGGATGATGATGATTGGGAAAAGGATTTTCTGAATTTTAGTGATATTGATCCTGAGAAACAAACTGCTATGATTGATTGGTTTCTCGCTTGAAGCACATGTACTCTTTCTTTTGGGTGTTATAAGATGTTCTTAGCTATTTTTTTTTCTCTCCTCTAACTCTTCCTTGATTTTGGAATGTAAAAACAATAAACAAGGTACCATTGTGATTTAGGGTAGATGTAACTATACCAAAAGATTTACACATCACTCTTGCACGATTAGTTTTGGATCGACTTAGATATTAGTTAAATACAAAAAAAATATATAATAATGTTTAGAATTCTATTTGGGATTTCAAACTTACATTACATGGTAGATTTTTTTATTTTTTTTTAGAGTAAATAATCTTTTGGATCTGACAAAAAATACGATTCTCACTTTAGTTACTTATAAAAAGAAATTAGTCGTCTGGTCCCTATGAAATTTAAAGTGGATTCATTTTAGTCCTTTTGATGGATTAATGTAGTTTTTTTTTTAAATTTGTGAGGGACCACGATTTTAACTAAATATGTTCATTTTGAATTTCTTAAGGACCTCGAGACTAATTTTTTTTGTAAGGAACTAAAATAGGAACCATATTTTTTATTAGGGACCTAAAAAGATATTTACTCTTATTTTTATTTTGTAAGGACATGGTAGATTATTAATTTCAAATATGATAAGTTACTTGCTTTTCACATGGAAAAACATATTAGGATGGTGGCTATCAGCTCTGTTACTAGATGAAACTTTATCTATATAAAGGGTGCTTGAACAAGTTTTAAACACACTAACAAAAATATAACAAATGCTTTAGAGAAAGAATTTAAAGGGAAAGCTCTTTCTAGTGTGAGAGAGTTAAAGAAAATATTAGCAAGATTATTTTCTCAAAGAAATAATTTTGTAATACTTGAGATATTTTTATAAGTCACTATTATTGGTGTTTTCTATACTTCTTGTTGTTGATTTTTTTGCATGTAAAATTAAAGATAAAGTGATTTAAGATGTATATGTTATAAGTTCAGTAAATTGTAATAATACGAAGAGACTTATATTTGACTTATGCTCACCTGACAAACTCGTGTGGTTAACCATGTTTTAAATTCCTAACAAAAAACGTTTACATTAAGAAATAAGTTCGTCAAACTACATTATGAATAACAAAAGTGCATAGAGGAACTGTGAAGTCTGGTGTCTGTAATAATTAAAATAAATAAATAAATTTAAGTGATGTAATTTTCGAATTGATTGCAAACTTATTCGCACAAGTAATGATATAAAAAAAGGGGAAAATATTTATCCTTTTAAATGACACAACTTATATCCTTTCACTTTTATAAGAGGTGAGATCCACACCTTTATATTTTTTTGTTCACTCTCTCTGTTTCTTTATCTATCTCTTTCTTTCACTTAAAATGACACAACTTTATATCCTTTAAATAATACACATTTTTTCCTATAAAAAAGGTCATAACTTAAGGCCTTTATTTTATTATACGATCTAAAAATAATCATGATTCCAATAACATTTTGTTAAAGAAATTAATTATAATAGGAAAAAATATTTATCCTTTTAAAAGATATAATTTTATGTCCTTTTATATCCCAACCGTTAATCAACCGTTAAAATTTAAAAGGACACAAAATTACATTCTTTAAAAGAATAAACGTTTTTCCATTATAATAACACTAATACATAAATTTTATCACAATTTCTCGTATTATTCAATGGTAATAAATCAGTTTATTTAAAACCAAATTTTAAAACCACTTAACTCCTATTTTTTATCATTTTTCGCTGTTATTTATTTATTTATTTATGTTTAGAGTCCGTTTTGATGAAAAAAGATTTCTCTCTAGATTTTTTTTTTTAAAGTATTTCTTGCTATAAATGAGTGTTTCAATATCAAAATAATTTATTTTTCTTTTAAAAGGCCAAAAGCTCATCGAAGAAGCTTTTTTAAATTATATAAACTTTTTTAAAATAAAGAGTGTTTTTTTTTAAATTAACATTTTTAAAATAATTTTTAAGATAACAATTTTATATATTCATCAAATAATTTTTAACTTCTTCTTTTAATTTACCTTAAAAGTAAGGGAAAAATGTTCCTGCAGTTACTGCAGATAAGTTATATGCATTTTTCCTAAAATGACGTCGTTTTGGTATTGAAATCTTAAAAAGTTATAAATATAAAGACTATTATAACCCTGAAATAAATTAAAATTACAAAAACACCATAATTTACGCTCCAAAGCGACATCGTATTGGGCTTACTGCAGATAATTTATCTGCAGTAACCGCAGAAAAAACGAACCCTGCAAGTAATTTTTAACTTTAAAAAAAAATGTATCAAATAGGCTCTCAAAATGATTCATTCCATACTAAGGTTTACCTCCAATCAAATTACGACTTGCATTAACTAATTAAAATTAAAATTTGATATTGTATTGAAGATATACTTAAGGGGTGTTTGGTAGAAATCTTTTTTACGACTCCCATAAAATTAAGGGTGGTAATTTTTTTTTTGAGTTATCCAACCTTAATTATCTCTTTGAGACGAGTTGGCTCCCTCCGATATCCCCACGAGCTTCGACTCTTTGAGCCGGCTAAGGGTGGTAATCTTATTTGCCACGAGATTTCTAAATTTTTTTCAAGAGTCATATTTTTTCAGAATTTTATTTTGTGTCAAAATTTTCAGAAAATATCATCCAATAATATCACCCATGGGATGGCATTCTAGTATTCTCATGACAAGAAAAAATTTAACACAACCAAATATAACATCAAGAAAATTAACCTAATATTTTTGAGAATATTTTAATATACCAAACAATTAATTGAGTTTTTCGAAAAATTTATTTTTCACCGTATTCTTGGAAATTGTAATCTTCAAGTAAAAAAATTCTCCTCTATTTAATGCCCTCTTAACAATATTTGAAAATTATGACTTGTCAGTTGTCACATTCTAATTTTTTTTTTAATTACACTATTTTCATTAAAAAAGAAGAGTATCGGGACTATTGTGCTAATTCCAGGGTTTCGCTTGCATATGTTACCAATAATAGTAGTAAAATTTTGGTATTACGAAAGTATCTAAATGGGTAATTTCATTTTTCATATTTGGTAAATGGTTTACTACTTTTGAAAAAAAAATTCCGTTACATTAAAAAAATTTCTTTTTTGAAAAAAAGATATACTCAGTCAGATGCACACAAATTTTGTTCCAACAATAGACAGCCGTATATATAATTGATATGGTTCAGTACATTCATGCCCCACATGTCATGCTACGGATGGAGGTTATGAATTATTTAATATTAACTCGTGCAGTGCGCATTGCACGTTTTTTTTTTTTTTTTTTCCATTATTAGAATATTTTATTAATACTATCAGCTTTGGTGTCTCGTATTAGAATTTGATATTGTACTGAAGATATATATATTATATTGTACAATATAGTATCATATTATTTAATACAAATTTTTTTCTAATACGTTTTACAATACATTTTATTGAATTTGTGAATTATATCATGTATCGTATAATATTAATAATTATGAGACTGAACTTTTAGTAAAAATTGAATTTGATGCTATAATTCTGATCTGTTTATCCTTCAATTCTCCCCTTATAATATTTTGTCTGCTTGGAGTGTCTAGTTCCAATTTTCTTGCTGAGAGTACTGCAGCAACTTTCTCTGGAGTTGCTTTCTTTGTTTTTTTGGGCTTTTGGCCCTCTACCATTATATAAGAAAAAATCTCAAAACAAAAAGTACGAAATGTACGCATCTTAATCTCACATATATAGCTATGTCACGTACACTATTCAGTGAGTGGCCTGCATCATAGTTAGGCTTCATTTAAATTAATACTTTCTCACAATTCTTGTAAGCATTTGTAAAAAATATCGAACTAACATTTTGATTAAACAAATTTGTAGACCCCGACTTATATAACCTTCCTACTTTCCATGTATAATTTTTTCAAATTCTAATTATTTTTTTGAAGTGAGTCTGTCATTGAAAACTTATAATTTTTAAATTAGTTATGGGACTAATACTGAATCATAATTTAATCATAGTTAAAAAAATTTGTATCTCTCCAAAAATATTTTTGTTAGGAACTAAATTCAATTTTTTTTTACCTACTTAGCTTATGTTATCAACTGAGTTATACTGTCGCTAAAATATAGCTAGCCAAACATAATGCACACGCATGTTTATACAGGAATATAGTTAACTTTTTAAATTAAAAACGAGTTCAAATAAATACAACTGATCAGTCTTATATATTTTTTATTTGGTTTGGGACGAGTTGAATAATTTTGTAACGTTGTCTAAAAAATGTCTTTATTGACTCCTTCCCCTATAATTATAAAGGAGAATATTAGTCTAATATTATAGAAGATTAATATTTTATGGGTTAGGATCATCTTACACCAGTGTAAGTTACACTCTTAATCTTGTCCACTGATCTTATTTATATTTAAGGGCTCAAATTTTTAAGTAATGTGAGCCATTGGATACAAGTGGATCAATGGTCAATATTTAGTGTAAGACTTCTAACTCTTACACCAGTGTAAGAATATCCTGCCCCATATTTTATTTATAGATATAGAGTATGTGAAATTTATTTATTTACTTATTTGATTATTTAAAAAAAAATGAATCCTATATATTTTATGTCTATAATATAATATACTATATTTTCACAATACGAAGCTAGTATTTCACAATTATAAATGTGCAAACTTTTTAAAGTACTTTTGGCTTGGGGGGTTACGAGTTAAAGACAATGTGGAATGCTGAACTATATTGTTAGCAACTTGCAAGTGGAGTCGAGTTTGGTGGGCATAACGGTTAGAAGGTATTATGACAACATAAATGTACAAGGCCTCTCCTCTGTCCCTTGTTAAGGTCCCCCGGTGGAAGGGGGTCTCTATCATGTCCTCATCAGCTTAGCAAATGACAGTGCTTCAGAGTTCAGACCACACGGCTATCATGACGAAAGGGAAATCATGGGGTCCTGTTCTTATAAAGCAAAATATATAATAAATAGTCTTACCATACTAC